GACTTCTCATGGGTTTCATCCGCCCCTTCAACAGGAATCGAACTATGAAAGTGCTTTAGACAAGAGAGAATGCTCTGGCATTTGATTATGGAGCATATATATTTGTTAATAAAAAATACGTGACTATAGAATAACGAAGCTAAACTTGCTACAATTAGCCCACCCCAACAAAAGTGTATATAGACATAAGCGACATAAGCTCAAAATAGTTAAAATGAGAATGTGTGTGTGTGTGTGTGTATGTGAGTGAGAAAGAGCAGTGATGACCTATTTAAATTCGGAGAAAGTGATGCCATCAAGCATGCTGTATTCTCATCCTCTAAACTGGCGAAAACGCATCTGCAAAGTGTTAATGGTTCGCAATTCTAGTCTCTTTCTCCAGTTTAACGTTCCAGCAACACAATCTCGACAAAGCTGAATAGTTATCAAGAAACTAATGGGCAAGCTTGCAAAGAAATACAATTTCATCTTCACTGGATAACCAAATATTAAAGTGGAAAAGTCAAGTTATTGTTGTCTCTTGATATATGCTCCTTGTAGACTAAATCAAACTGCCTGTGATCACTCATTCGCATGCAGATGAAGTTATGTTCTGGGGTGGGGCTTCGAAAGAAGGCTTGCTGCTTGAATGGCATAACATGTCTCCAAGTGGATGCAGAGCCAGACGCATGGGACATTCTAAAGAGATTTCCAATTTAGTTAAGCCCTTGACGATTAACATTAAGTGGGTTTAGGATCAGTGAAAAATCAAAATACAGTTAACCCTTTCCTAAAGGAAAGTGGTCAAGATACCATTCAGAAGACAGGCTTTGATGATACAATCAGTCAAGCATACACATCTTATCCCTAAACCCATCACTGTTGATTAATTTAACATTTTATACTAATGCAATATGAGGCTAGGCTAAATAAATAAATTGTAAGCTGTAAACAAGCAAAGAAAAGACCACAAATAGTTTTATGTCCAAAAGTTGTGGGGAAAAATTCCAGTCTACTTTAGCTTGCCTGGTATGGTATACCATTATTTATTCTCAATTGATCGAAATAATATAATATATTAAAATTCACCCTTTTATACTCGGTATTGATCGCTACAAATCTCAAGTGTTACACTGTAAATTAATTCATTCCAATAGACCAGCATAAGAGCTAGTATAAATGTAATTATTTTAATAAAATTTAGCGTGATATTAGCTTTTGTGGTATACTATTATAAGATAAAATATAATTTTTTCTTTGCAAGTCCCATCTAATTTATCTTGATAGAAGCCAGGCAAACTTACCCTTGCCTAATCGAATCATACACAATCCACCCAAATCAAGCCTAACAGAAAAATTACCTGAATCGATGTACTTCACTACAACATAATGATGCTAAACTATTGTACTAATATTGAAAAGAAACATCTCTAATCTTATATAGTATAAAAATATCTAAACATATCAATTCTAAAAGATTACAACCTGGGCTAATTTAAATATAATATAAGCTAATCCTCTAAAAACCATTTTCTAACCAGAAGTAAGCGGATCCAACAAAGATTGTCGGCTATAATAAATCCTACTGCAATCAAGTTGAATCGAATAAAATCAAGCCAAATTTAGCATACTTAAAGCATAAAAAGTCAAAGGCAAAGTTATTCTCAGTAATTCAAACTTGTTATCTCCCCACTAACGAATATAGTCCCTCTAGGCCACTGAAGATGAGCCAAGAATTGATAGTGAAATATTCCCTCATTACAATGATTATGCTACTCAAAACATTGAATTTCAGTTAATCTTACACCTATTTTGTTCAGAATGGACAATATTTTCTACCTCACCCAGATCGCATCAGCACTCAGAAACAATTAGAAACCGGAACTGTAACTAGTGGTTATGCATTTAAATTTTGATTAAAACCACTCGTGTATGAGGGTGACAGGACAGATGTGATTTCCGATGCAAGCCGCGCCTGTCTTTAATCCGAATCTATGGTGGGAACATTACAAACTACAATGTAATGCATATCCGCCTTGAGTGTCTATGGACATAAGTAATAAGTCTTAAATCTATTTAGGCAAGTAATGCGGTCGAGGAAAGTTCGAAAGTGAACTCGGACGTCATGTAATGGAAGAATTATTAATCCAATGTAATGTAATATAATGTAATTTAATGTAACAAAACGTTATGAAATGTTACGCACTTTAATAAAATATGAAAAAATATTATGAAATGCAATTATATGTTATGAAATGGAATGTACCGTAATGTACCGTTACTTTAAAGTCCTTAAATTAATCTATTGTTATCGAATCTAATCTAACCTTATCTTGTCTGAATTGAACTCATCTGACTTATTTGGAGCTAATCTATTCCATCCAAGTTAGTCTCTTCTACTCCAATCTTAGCTTATCCGATGTAGTCCGTTTATTCTTGGATATTCAACATTATTAGTGTGTTTTGATCTATCTGCCTATAATGAATAAGGGATCTATTCGCTCTTCATTGTATGAGTCGATGAAAAGTTGTCGACTTATGCCACACTGCCTCACAGTGTCATTGAAGTTTGTCCATTCTTTCCTCCTAAAGAATACTATCATCTAGGCTGGATTGTAATTACGAGTTTACCAAGGTCTCATTAGTGCCCATAAAAGATAATTCGGCTTAGATATTGGATATGCTAGAAACTTTAAGAGGTTCAATAAAAGCGTGAGGTCTATTTGCAGGATTTTGGGAGAAGTTCGCCAGTTGCTATCAAGGCTCAATCCTGTTCCTAGTACTGTACATTTTTTCATCTTATTGGCCACATTGTGATATAAATAGATTTCGAGAATCTCAATAATTGTCAAGTAACAATTTCTTCAGTCAGGCTCGCCTAAGGTGATTAAAGGGTTGATAGTTAAATTTACCCTTACGACAGATTACAGTTTAATCGGTGCCTCATACTTTGAATTTCAACATGTATTTGCTGTTTCAACCGAGTAAGTGACTTATTTTCAGTATAAGTAGGTTTCGAGATCATCAACTATTTTTGAATAATAACCTAGTCACGCCAATTGATGATAATGCAGGTGCAACATCATAGTGAAATTCAATGGTATTGCAGGGCCCAGTCATCTGATTGCTGGAAAAGTCCTTAAATCACCTGAATCAACCTTAGCTGACAAAGTTAATATTTAAGAATTACTATAGCATTACTCATAATGAAAATAAGTAGCATCGTTAACGGTACTGGCAAACGCATGGCTTAGTTTAAATGACATTTCTGCCCTGTAACTTGTGTCGTCATGGCATTCACGAATCGGGCTCAAATCCCATTAAAGGTGCTGATGAGGCCCATGCGATTTCGAAACTTCCTTCCAGTTATTTTGGGATGAGAAGTCCATGTAAACGTGTAGGCCTGTCTATTTAATTATGGAAAAATTCAACTATCACTCCGTAATCAAATGGTGGAGAGAAGATACCGGCCAGTCTTGACGTGCTACTAAAGCACGAATCTTGATGCATCTTGATTAGTCATCAAATTAAGAATATCTTAAAACCATTTTATTCCAAAAAATGAAACTAATGAATTTAACCAATTTGTGAACTCACCCTGTATGACCTTGATGCAGTCAGTGAGAGGTGGGTAGGCCTGGGGATAATTGGGCGTCGTGAACGTGAAGAAGGTGACCGAACTCTGCTGACGCATGAGGGCAGTCATGCTGGGAATGTTGCTGGGTCGCAGTTGACGTGGATACCGTCGACGAGGCCTGTTCGAGACGGCCTCAATGGCGTGGTCGGCTGCGCCATTTCGTCTCTTCAAGACTGAGAAGTCGTTCTCATCCGGACTCGTCCTAACTGCCCCACTTTCACCGGCATTTCTGACGAGACTGGGCTCGTTTTTGAGTCGCTTTTGGGCTATTCGCCATTTCCAGCCGCTTTCGGGCGTCTTTGTCTTGGAGGGACGCATGTCGGCGCCTGTTTGAGATGCATTTCTTTTCGGCCTGGACTGCAGAAATTCCGCTCGTGACTTCAATTTCGGGTGACTCGGTGAAACGGAAGCCGACGAAGAAGATGATGAGAGAAACTGTTGCATACCTCCGGCTGTGAGGGTGTTGGGTCTGAAAGAAGCCGATCTGATGGGCGAAGGCGAGAAGGTGGGGTTGTGTGGATCGGAGGAAACCTTGAGCGGAAATGTACCAAAATCAGGCACTGTCGAGACCGAGCCGGCGTCGGGATCGGGATCGGCTGGAAGGTCGGGCGGAGCACTTGAGACGGCCGATTGAGCCGAGGCGGAAGCAGCAGTGGAAGAGGCGTCGGGCGAGCGCAGATGCGGCAACAACAGCTCCGTCGAGGCGACGGTACCTGAGGCCGTCTGGTCGGCCAGTTCTGCCGGATACGCAGTGCCCATGAATGCTGCGTTTCTGTCCTTGCTATCGCTCGTGCGCCATGACGCTGGGTAGGGCCAGCCGGGTCCGTTGGTTTCGCTTGCCTCCGACTGCAGAAGAAAGAAAGAGTCAACGAATGGATTGCAGACAATGGCTTGCCGGGGTGGACTACCGCCGTAGAAGTCAGGCTGATGGTTCACCTTAGGACCAATAAACATGTCCTCGTGCTCAACGGCAACCACCATCAAGAGAGGGCTCGAAATCCTCCAAATAACCAACAAAGTGTTGGTGGCCAAGAAGGAGACTGTGTGGAGAAACGGTATAGAGAAAGGGCAAGCAGGGAAATAGGCAAGCAGATCTGCGGGAAAATCGAAACTGCTTTATGGGAGTACTATACTAAAGCT